TCTTATGTCCAACAGAAGTCTTGACTTTCTTCTCTACATGTGCTTCATTCCCTAGCTTCCCTCATTCTACGAAGTGGTATCAGAATCCATCCATTTGCTCAGGCTGAAGATGTTGATATTATCCTTAGTCCTCTATGTGCCACACTAAAGCCTCCTTAAAAAATCTGGAACCGTCAGGAAGTCCTTTCGCATCTACCTACAAATCGTGTCCCAAATCCAGCTACTCGGTATCATTTGGCATCTTCCTGATTCAAACTCCCACCGTCTTTCCTAAACACTACTTCGATAGCCTCTAAAAAGGTTTTCCTACCAAGACTCTAGTTCTTCCAGTTAGTTATTAAAGGAGGCTTAAGAAAGTGGTTTAAAATATTCTATCGTAATATTCTTTTTAAAAGCCTCTGGTTCCAGAAATAAAGGCCCGGAGCTGCTGCGTAAGAAACAGTTTTCAGTTCAATCTCAGGCGTGAAAATTACTTGCTAAAATGAAGGAATCGGTATTATTGATGAATGATAATGGAAAAATAGAATCTTCACAACTTAATATTTGTAATATTCAAAATATAATTCAAACTCTCTTGGTATGTGAAAAACCAAGAAAATGGAACTTATTCCCAAGATTGAAAATATTTTTAATCTTCTCCTGAGATGAAACAAATTTTGAAACTAACCAACAAAAATTTTAAAGTGGTTATATAACTATCCTCAAAGACATAGATAAAATATTATTGTAATATATGAAAAGCACAACTTATAAAAGACTCTCAGCGGAGACAGTGATACAAATAAACCAAAATAAATGAAATCCTAGAGCTGAAACAGTACAATTTCTGACATAAAAAGATTCTCTGGATGGGCTTAACAGCCATGTGGACAGAGACACAAGAGAGAGAATATCTGAAGACAGCAATAGAAATTGTAGAAGATGACGACGGAGAGAAATAATTATTTAAGAAAAATGAACAAAGAGACCCAGAGTGCTATTATACCAGGAATTAGCAAATATTTCCTGTATGGGGACAGATAATTATCCTTTTATGCTTTGTGAGAGATGTGTTCTTATTTTTTTTTTCTTTCTTCTTCTAAAGTAATTTTCGTGGCTTTTTAAAAAAAAATAGATTTTGTTGTTTAGAGCAGTTTTAGGTTGACTGCAGTACTGAGCAGACAGGAGATTTCAGGGGATTTCTGGCATCTCTCCCTGCCCCCCCCCACTCTTGCAGAGCATCCCCACCTATTAACAGTCTGCACCCAAGCAGTACACTTGGTACAGAGATAAACCTGCAACGACTCATCATTACCCCTCAAAGTCCATAGTTTGCGTCACGGTACACTCTGCGTCGTGCATTCTGTGGGTTTCGACAAATGCGTAATGCCATGTACCCGCCATTATGGTGTCATACAGAGTAGTTTCGCTGCCCTAAAATACCTCTGTGCTCTGCCTATTCATCCCTCTCTTCCTCACCAACACTTATCCTTTTACTGTTCCCTTAGTTTTGACTTTTCTAGAATGACATATAATTGGAATCACACAGGATATAGCCTTTTCATATTGGCTTCTTTCATTTATTAGTACGTATCTAAGGTTTCTCCATGTCTTTTCATGGTCTGATAGTCCATTTCCTTTTAGAATTGAATAATATTCCATTGTCTGGATGGACTACAGTTTATTTATCCATTCACCTACTAACGGATATTTTGGTGGCTTCCAAGTTTTAGCAATTATGAATAAAGCTGCTATGAATATTCGTGTGCAGGCTTTGTGTAAATGGAAGTCTTTAACTCCTTGGGTAAATACCAGGGAGCACGATTGCTAGATTTTATGGCAAGAGAGTGCTTAATTTTATAAGAAACTGCCAAAACGTCTTCAAAAGTGGCTGTACCATTTTGTGATCTCACTGGCAATGAATGAACATTCCTGTTGCTCAACATCTTCATCAGCATTTAGTGTGGTCAGTGGCATTTTATTTTAGTTTTGTTTTTTTACCGTTCTAATAGGTATGCAGCAGTATTAAATTGTTGTTTTAATTTGCAATCCCTTAGTGATAAAAATGTTAAGCATTTTTTTCACATGTTTATTTGTCGTTTGTATAACTTCTTTCGTGGTGTGTCTGCTCAAGTCTTTTGCCCATTTTTAATTGGGTTGTTCATTCTCTTATTGTTGAATTTTAAGAGTTTTTTATATGTTTTTTATAACAATCCTTTTTCAGAAATGTCTTTTGGAAGTATTTTTCCCCGTCTGTAGTTTGTCTTCTCATTCTATTAATTGTGTTTCTTTTTCATTTCATGATATTAAATATAATTTTCCACTTTAACCACTTTAAGTGTAGAAAACACTGTTATTGATTACATTCACAATTTTGTGCAACCATCATTACTGTCAAAACTTTTCAAAATCTTCAACGAAAATTCTGTACCCATTAGGTGATAACTCCCCAATTCTCTTTCCCCCCGGCCTCCAGTATTTCTACTCTACCTTCTTCTTTACAAATTTGCCTATTTTAGATATTTCGTGTAGGTGGAATCATACAATATTTGTCCTCTTTTGTCTGTCTTATTTTACTTTGCATGATGCTATCATGGTTCATTCATGTTGTAGTTGAATCAGAAATTTATTTCTTTCTATGGCCGAAAAATTTTCCATGTACATATCACATTTTATCTATTCATCTGTTGATGGACACTTGGGTTGTTTCAACCTTTGGCTATTGTGAGTAATGCTGCAACGATGTTGTTGTGTAAGTGTCTATTTGAGTCCTTGTTTTCAATTATTTTGGTTTTATACCTAGCAATGGAATTGCTGGCTCATATGATTTCTCTAAATTTAACTTTCTGAAGAATTTCCAAAGTGTTTTTCACATTGCCTGTACCATTTTGCCTTCCCATAAACAATGTACAAGAGTTCCAGTTTCTCTACATTCTCATGAATACATGTTCTTATCATCATCATCATCATCATCATTATATCCGCCCCATTAGGTGTGAAGTGGCATTTTATTTTAGTTTTGATTTGCTTTTTTTTTTTGACCGCCTATAGCACCTGGTCTTCCTAGATGGTCTCCCATCCAAGTACTAACCAGGCCCGACCCTGCTTAGCTTCCAAGATCAGACGCGATCGGGCGTGTTCAGGGTGGCATGGCTGTAGACTTGATTTGCATTTTTAAGAACATATTAAGCACTTTTTCATGTGTTTATGTAACATTTGTATATATTTTTCAAGAGATGTATATTTAAGCCCTTTGTCCATTTAAAAATTTGATTCTTTGTCTTTTTACTGTTGAGTTGTGGGAGTTCTTTATATATTCTGGATATTAAACCCTATTGCATTGATCTATCTGCCCATCTTTATGCCATATATATAATTACGAATATTATCTCCCATTACATAGGTTATCTTTTCATTTGCTTCATTTGCTTTCTTGATTCTTTGATGTACAGTTTTTAATTTTGATAAAGTCCAATCTATCTATATTTTCTTTTGTTACTCATGCTTTTGACGTCATATCTAAGAATCCATTGCCAAACTCAAAGTCATGTAGATTCACCCTATTCTGTTTTCTTCTAAGACTTTTATGGTTTTAGCTCTTCTATTTAAGTCATTAATACATTTTGTGTCAATATTTGTTAAAGGTCCAGTTTCATTCTTTTGCTTGTGAATATCCAGTTGTCACAGCACCATTCATTCGTTGAAGGGGCCGTGCTTACCCACTGAATAATCTTGGAACCTTTTTCGAAAATCAATCAGCCATAAATCTATGGTTTTATTGTTATTGCTGTAAGGTGGATAGTTTTGTGTTAAAGAACTGTCAGGAATGAACACTGACTCTGAACACTTTTATAAGTTACAGTCACTGTCACACATTCAGAGCTCTCAGTTTTCAGCTGAGATAACAGATGACATGACACTGGTAGGTGGTAAGGGACACCTTAATTCCCCATATGCCTCAGAGGAGGCGTGTTTGGGTGGTGGCAGTGGCTGGCTCTTTAATTCGGAAATAGTACTGTTAGGCATAGGGTACTCCGATTTCTAAAACCATAAATGGCGCCAGCAGCTGCATTCAATTAATTCCCTTACATGGTTGAAAAACTTACCATTAAAGAGCTATGTTTTCCAGAACAAAAATTAAGGTTACCAGAATGATTTTTCTATAAACCACTAAGAGACATTGCTATGGACACCACAAGTTTAATAGAAATGTCTCCCCATCACTCTGGAGAAGACCATGCTCTGAAAATCCATAAGCATTAGCCTCCCAGGGTCCAGGAGGGACTGAAGTGGCCTCCTGGCCATGGCCTGAAATGTTGTTTTATATATCTGTGTCATAATACATCTTCCTCCCTGTTCCTACAGGTAATATCTTTCTAAACTACATGTTGTGGCACCTCCTGTCCAAACCCTATCATAAAATGCCACCATGTCTAATAGAGATGTTGTTTCTGGATCCTGTACATAAAGCTCACAGCCAACAAAATAGCGCTCATCACACTGAGTGTGATTCTCCATTTGTGTTTCTAGGTCTCTGGAGGCCTAGGAGACCCCAGGACAGTATAATTTGTAATAAATGTTTCTTAACGGAAGAATAATTCATGAATGCATGAAAATACCCCAGAGTAAAGAGAGAGCCGTGATCCAGAGACACTCACCTGTCTGATAAATGACCAGATATGATGCTTCCCATCAGCATTCCAGCCATGAATGAGAATTTGGCCATTGACTTCAGTGACTGAGATTGACACACCAGGTCCCACTGGAAGGGAAGGACATCATTACATCAGAGCTTCACAGCCACTTATGACCCCTCAGTAGAAATCAAATCGAAACAGCTTAAATGACTTTCAAGTTTCTTTATATCAGGCCCCCCCTTCCTCTCCGGCTCCTCATTTTTGCATTAGCCAACCTTTGTTACTTTGTTATTCAGGTCTCGGTTTAAATATAACTTCTGATAGGAAGCCTCCTCTGAACCTGTTGGCTGCATTAATGCCTTCTTGTCTTCCATGCTAAGTGGTTCTCGAGCTTAGCTGCAGAGTGCCATCATATGAGGAGCCTTAAAATGTGCTGGTGCCAGAGTGTCACCACAAATCTCCTCAGGCGGCTGTTCTGGGGCACAGTCTGTGCTTGCAGCGTTTCGTCAACTCCCCAGACGTTTCTAGTTTACAAGCAAGGCTGAGCATTTCTGACCTCGTATAACGTTGTTAACACATCACCTAAATTACTTGCTTAATCTTTGGCCTTCCTAAAAATAAAAGCCACACGATAGTAAGGTTATGTCTATTTTTGAATTCATTAGTCTCACCGTTGATGCAGGAGCTTGACATTTAATAGGGAAGTCATCGGTATTCGCTGAAGGAATGAAGAATGAGCACCGACGTAATGACTAAAGGCTTAAAGCACGGATGTCACTGTGTGATAAACTCCCAGACCACGTGAAGGGGCCTCTTACCTCCGTCACGATGGTGGACGAGAAGGAGCTTCGGTCGTACACCCAGCCGTCCACGCAGGGCTCCGTGTCCAGCTCGCTGGTGTTGGAGAAGGTGCCATTCAAGTGAAGGAGCTGCCACTGAGGGTGGAGGAAGCGGCGACACTTCTCCGGCTCCAGGTTCGAGTCCAGTGGGATGGAGATTCGCAGCAGGGCATCCTGCCTGAGCAGCCCGGTGCCATTAGCAGAGACGGTGTCATTGTCGAGGATGTGGACCCAGCAGCGGTGATCAGGAACGGCTGCAGTGAAGTTCTCCAACAGAATATGACTGTACACTATGAGGCTGGAGATACATAAGAAAATGAGCTGAAGGATCTGGAATCTGCCCAGCCCTCCAACTTGATCCAGGAGTTTATGAAAGGCCATCGAGGATGAACAGGCGATCTCCGAGAGGAGCCCAAACAACCGTTTTTAGGAAAATCTTCAAACGGAGGAAAGGGTCCCTTTTACTACGTCGCATTCAGTGTGTGTTGATCCTGATCACACTTTCTCCTCAGCGGGCCCTGTCTCACCTCCACACCTGGGCAGTGGAAGCTGTTTCTCCAAATTGTCCTCTTTAAAGTCGAGGAGAGCTGTTCTGCCGGAATGCTTCCAGAAGCTGACAACAAAAACTGTTTAAAGGCACTGTCAACAGTCCCCCAAAGTAGCGCCGGACTTTGAGCCCTGTGTCTGCAAGCAAATAAAACAAACCTGCTACGTGGAACGCAGTCTTTTCCACGACATGTCATTTGCAAGACTCAAAAATGAGACGTTTTTGATTTTTCTGTGGAAAATACTGAAAGTTAAAGATACCGCTTGAATTTTGATTAAAAGAGTTAGTGAAAACAGCCCTGAGTTCAATTAAAACAAGTGAAATGTCACTTTTGGGAAGTGACATTCTGCTCCAAGTGGAATCAAACCATGAATTCACGCTGAAAACAAGTCCCTCAAAATGGGGGCAGGTGGGTAGCAACGGAGGGCAGAGGGCTAAGCAAAATCCTAAAGTCTTTTCCTCTAATTTTGCTGGACTGAGTTCTAGAAGCATCGTGAAGAACCAGCCCACGTGAAATCCAAAGTGGACAACTGTAATGTATTTTGTTCAATAATACAAAGAGTAGATTGGGTAATTTTACAGTTTATTTAGAGTAGATGCAATTGATCGTTCAATGGCATTGAAATAAATCCGACTCTAGTGGCACTGCTTAGACCAAATGTTTCTATGAAAAAATACAATAATACTTATAAACTAGCTTTTACGGATGGTTAACATCAGTACTGTATGTATTTGGGGGAGTCAAATACATACATAGTTCATGAATTCGTCATACGAGATTTTTCATTATTACATGTAAGAATGCCTCCTACAAGATAAACTATCAAATGCTCATAATGGCATTTATATGGAAGTACTCTTATATACAGAAGCAATCCAGTTTCTCTGCTGTGTAAGTATATAATTTAGAGACACTAGGTGACAGAGAAAAAAATCTTAGTACAGTAAATATTGATATCAGTTTGCAGGATTTAAAATGCTTGCTTTTAAGAAATCATCTAGAATACAAAGCATTCTGTGCCAAGAAAACTGGAAAAATTCTGGATACTCATAATGGATCACACCATGCAACTTAGAATGAAACTATGTTATTTATTCAGTTATTTTCTACATTTTTTATTCCTTTGACTACATTAATTTGTGAACTAAAGATTACATTCTGTGCAGCTGCATTTATGGGACAAGATCTCATTTTCAAAATAGTGGCATCTCTTTTCCTTAACGATAATGGCACTTGATTTTTAGCAACAATTCTATGTTTGAAAAGGTAATAATTTGTTGAACAAAATGTTTTAACCATAATTACTTTCTCCCTTACTCACCATTTGCCAGTTACGATATTTACAAAAGACTCGAGTCTCCCCGTGGAATGACCTTTTAGCCTCCTCTACCTCATACCTTAGTCAAAGGTTTTTCTTCAACCTCATCTCTGACTTGACTGGGGGAAGTGGAAGAGTTTTAGAAAAGTTGTTTATGTATTTTAATTTGGATTGTTGTTTTTGAGTAAGTAGGAAGGCAAGAATAAACCAAAATAATTTTTAGTTCAGGATAGGATACAGTGCCCTCGATAGACAGTTATGTAAGAGGAAACACCTGTTAGTAACCTATAAAAGATGAGACATTCTAAGTCACCCTACAAAAAGTCTGTAACAGCTAAAAAATAAGAAGTCGTATTAGTCCACTGTGATTGCATCACCTCTGAGTGGACATTAAAGGTCAGAGGACAATCTGGTGGTTATTGACAGACAGGCAAGTTTAACCAAAGAGATGTCACTAAATTCAAATGCTGAAAAAAATATTTTTAAAAGCAGATTAAGTTAAGCTAAGTTATTCTGTGTAAACAAAGCACAGACAAAGGGATTAGCAAATGAGGACTCTAAACTGAATTCCACGAATCCAGTTTTCATGGTAAGATGGATTTATTATATGCATTTTATAACAGTAACTTCTTAAAAATCACCAAGTCTATGAAGTTATACTTTGTGTTAAACTAGTCTTGCATTATATGGGAAATGGCCATATCCGATAGGCAGTACAGCCAAATTATAGTGGTGAGATTTGAGATAGAAAAGTTGACAACTTTCTAGAAGAAGCACATTAAAGCATTTGCCAAAATAGTTATTGGACAATAGTTCAAATCTGTAATTTATAAAGTGAAATTGTGATCCTGTGAAACAAATTTAAGGATAGAATTAAAATTACTTCAAGACCAAGAATGATCATTTTCACCAAATCTTACTACAGATGGATTTGTTGAATTTGTTAATGTAAACCAGAAAACATTTGGGGGCGGGGAAATAAACCCATACGTAATTTGATCTGTCTTTTTTGGAAATTAACATCACAAAATAAACCACAGACTGATGTCAAATCAACAACAACAAAAAAAAATGAATGACAACCAACAAACATAAACACATGGCAGAGTTAAAATATCCAAAAATATTCCATTGGCTTCGGCTTATTAAAATGTTTTGTACTATCTAAAAGAAAAAGAAAATTTTAAAACAACTGGAAAAGAGGCAACTTGTTTAAAATTTTCTCATGGCAGATTCAGACAGATCACAAGTCTCGTTCAAATGTTTGCCAAGGTCAATGAAGCAGCCTTTATTCTGGGATTGTCCAAGGTGGTAGAGAGCCACTTGGCTCTATTTATCCTACACTAGATGGCAGCTCAGAGGAATGTGCAGCACAGTTACCAACATGGTATTGTAGGAGACCGGAGCCTGGAGTCTCCGCTGGCTTAGGAAGAACCCAGTATTAGTTCTTTAGCTACCCTATGGTGCAGGCTAACGATGCTGAAAATCTCGACTGCATCCTTGAGCCATTCTCTCTTAGTTCCTATTAGATACAGAATCTTCCCAATCTTCTAAGAGTCCAATGACTGTAAGAATATGCACATGAGTTCTGGGCTTTTGGTCTTGGTTCTCAGACATTTCCCGGTCTCTGTGGTGTGACATTTGTCACTTTCATTTGACCCCAGCCTCTTGGCAAACCTCCCTCCCCACAGCATTGCCAGGCTTTTCCTGTTACAGCCTCCAGCTGGACCACCCAGAGCTCTGGACTCGCTAAAGGGACCTTTGGTGACTCTCTCAGATCCTTGTCAGCCAAGCCGTGAGTAGACCTATGGAAGGAGTCAGCTCTTGGCTCTTGCAAACAATGCTGCGATGAGCATGAAAGAAAGTTCAGGCATCTCTTTGAGATCCTTCTTTCGATTCTTTTGGCTAAATATCCACTAGTGAGATTTCTAGATTATAAGGTAACTTCTTATAATTTTTTAAGGAATCTCCATAGTGTTTTCCATCATTTTACACTCTCACCCACAATGTTTGAAGATTCCAATGTCTTCACAGTCTTGCCAACACTCGTCTTCTTTGCTTTCCTTTTTATAACAGGTACTGATCCGCATTTCCCAGATGATTAGTGATGCCGAGCACCTTTCATACATACATAATCTTCAGATTAGATTGTCACAATGGTCCTCAAATATGTCTTCCCAGCTGTTTTCCCCCACCCACGAGGTAGTCGTAGATGACACATTACGTTCGCTGTACTTTTTTCATGTGAGTTTGAATCTAGAATAATCACTTCACTAATTTGTTTTTCTCACGACGTTGCCTTTTGAACGGTCCAGGCTGCTCGTTTTACAGAAAGGAGCAGATCCGGACTGCTGCTGAAGCTTGTCAGAGCATACCACCTGGTGGAGCCGATGGGAGAAGAGGCATCTGAGCAGGAAGAGATGTGGTGTGACCTTTATTACGAACCTTAAAAGGTGAGTCATATTATAGACCCTGGAGTTAGGAAGGAGGCCTGACTACGAGACACCGAGGTACCACGCAGTGAGAAGTTAAGGTCACTAGCTGAGTTCTGTCAATCCCAGCCAGTCGCAGGAGCCCAGCATCACTCCCTCCTAAGATGAAAGGCATACGCTGGGGATAAAGAGACAGGAGGCCCAGATAAGCCGCAAGATCAGGTGGCTCAGAGCCCCCATGATCCACCAGTACTGCCCCTCAGCTGCACACACTTACAGCTGTCTGTTACGACCAGCTGACAGAGGAAGAAAATAACTGCCAGGTCCACGCGTAGAATGACTTGGCAGGTGGGGAAAGTAAAACGGTGACTGCCAATGAAGTGCTCCTCGTCTGGGGACCATGGTGGTCGGCAGCGATGAGTAGTTCTCTCCATGGGTATATCTGACTATCCACTTCGTGTCTGAATAGTGTAAGCCTGAGCTAAGATATATGTGGACGATAAGGAGCTGCAAATGGCCTAGTTTGGTGGCTGGGCCTGAACACGGAAAGGCTAGATGAAAGGAAGAAAGAAGGCGTGAGGAAGAGGCATGTGGACACACTTGTGGGAATGGACCTGAGGCGCGATGGTCTTTGTATCACATGTAACACTCGGTAGAGACCACGTGCCATGGGAGGAGGGAAGAGGCACTGAACAAACATCCAGAGCAACTTAGAGTCGCTGTCCCCACGCGGTCTTCCAATCAGAAGGGCCGAGGTGGCAGGGACAGCTGCATGTGCCTACTCGCCAAGTCTGCACTAGCTGCTCTTGCTGCTGAATGTCAATCTGCAAGCCACAGAGACCAACCAACATCTTGATGTCAAATTGGTTATATTAGACCTGTTTCGCCTTCAAAAGGGGCAATGATATATATTAGCTACAGTAACACGTATTCTGGGTAAGGATCACTCTGTTTTGTCTTCATGATCTGAGCCAGCACTGCTATCCAAAGGCAGAGAGAGTATGTGATCCACCAGAACCAGATCCTTCAAACCACTTCATTGAACCAAGGAACCGAAAAGGCAAGGAAGGTGGTGTGGACGTG